TCTCTCTCTCTCTCTCTCTCTCTCTCTCTCTCTCTCTCTCTCTCTCTCTCGGTCTCTCTCTCTCTCTCTCTCTCTCGGTCTCTCTCTATCTATATGTCTTCCTTGTGGATTGCTGCTGGTCATGTTACTTCATTGCTGTGTTTTGGGGTTTCCCGCTGAGTGAGGGTTGCAGTTAATGATTGAACAGAACAAGCCAGTAAGTAGCAGGCAGAAGGCAAAGCCCACTCATCGATAATAGCCGTGCCAACTCTTCCTGTGCCGGGTCACTTTGAAAGCCCCCGCATGAGCCGGCCCTCACAAGAACAGAACAATTGGTTTTGGAGGTTTCTGGGGATTCTGACAATGAAGCTTATCGGCTGCGTAATATTTCTTGTGGAAGCTGGTTAATGATTCAGTGTGGGACCTTTGTACCCGCTACTCTCCTACCACCTCCCGGCTTCCAATAAACCTCAACTGCCACCGGTGGCCTTCCTGTAAAGATACTGATGTCATATAACGCATAGGTGAATGTTTTGGTCCCTTAGGGGGTGTATTTACGTACAGAAGATTCAAATAACATTCACCCAAAATTCACACATTTTCTGATGGACCTGTAAAGTCTTTGTAACAAGGAACTCGTTTTCTCTGTTTTATTCTGTTAAATACACAACTGAGCGAGTTTTTTGTTATATCTGAAATAAATCCCTGTTGATCCTGCCAGGAATCTTGTGAGCTCATAACTTCCTGTGCTGCATTCTTATTAGTTACATTGTTCATAGCTTTCTCTGAGGACTACAACACACCTGTTACGGAGAAGAGGAGAGGTGTTTTGTAGTCCTGTTCTAGGGTGGCAATGTTGCTCCTCCGTAGATACAGTACAGTGAGTGAGCGTTGTCACCCTTGAACAGGAAGCGTGTTACTGGCAGGATCACCAGGTATAAGATAAATGAATGAAGTGGTAGCCCCACTGCAAGGATTCGTTTTTTGATTCCCGGAGTTCTTCTTCAAGTCATTTCAAAAGTCATTGTCAGTATTTTGAAATCTGCAGCTTTGGTTATAATATTTCCCGGTGATCCTGCCATGAAGGTCTTTGTACAGATACTTCCTGTTATCAGGTGACAACGCTCTGTCCCCGTCTCCCAATTGTGCTCCTTGTCACCCTGCATTGTCACCCTGGCACATGGGCTTCCAGTGGAGTGGCCATTTTAAGACCCTTAAACAGGCATGGTTCTCTGTTGTCACCATCAGGAAACTCCATGCAGCCGTCGCTGGGGTGCATGTAGACAGGAATGTAACCATGTTTAAAAGACGGTGAAGTATATTTATAAAAAACACAAAGCAACTGAATTCCGTTCACTTTGGGTTTAAAAAGGGTGAAAGTGACACTGAATACACAGGTGACGGCCGATAAACGGACGCCGTGGTGATGGATGGGAAACGTTACACCCGTCCTGTGTGCCTTGTGTCACCGGCTGAGCCTCTGTGACTTGCCGGACCGGTTGCAGGGAAAATCCTGGTTGGTGTTTACTCTGCTGCCTTGTGGCAACTGATGTACGTGCGGACTGTAGAGGACTGTGTGATAATGGAGAGGTCAGGGAATGGGCGGACTATGTGATAATGGAGAGGTCGGGGAATGGGCGGACTATGTGATAATGGAGAGGTCGGGGAATGGGCGGACTGTGTGATAGTGGAGAGGTCAGGGAATGGGCGGACTGTGTGATAATGGAGAGGTCGGGGAATGGGCGGACTGTTATATTGGAGAGGTCAGGGAATGGGCGGACTGTGGAGGACTGTGTGATAACGGAGAGGTTGAGAATGGGAGGACTGTGTGATATTGGAGAGGTCAGGGAATGGGCGGACTGTGTGATAATGGAGAGGTCAGGGAATGGGCGGACTGTGTGATAATGGAGAGGTCAGGGAATGGGCGGACTGTGTGATAACTGAGAGGTCAGGGAATGGGCGGACTGTGGAGGACTGTGTGATAATGGAGAGGTTGAGAATGGGAGGACTGTGGAGGACTGTGTGATAATGGAGAGGTTGAGAATGGGAGGACTGTGGAGGACTGTGTGATAATGGAGAGGTTGAGAATGGGAGGACTGTGGAGGACTGTGTGATAATGGAGAGGTTGAGAATGGGAGGACTGTTTTTAGTTCCTATGGTTCCTTAGTGCAGGGATTGCGATCAGTGAACAGACCAATAAAGTTTGTTGACACTTCGAGTACGCCGCCATTTGGGTGCACCAGGCGAGTGTCCCACCCCCGAGTCCAGATTTTCTTCCCCTTTTTAAAGCATTTCGATGTAAAGTGTATCCCTCGTGCCGCCTCCTCTCTGCTACCTCGTCACTCCAATCTCCTTTCCTTCTCTTCCAGGAGTTCTCAGCTACCTGAAGGAAACCTTCACACACACCCCCAGCTACGACATGAGTCCGGCCATGTTGGGGGCCCTCATTAAAATGCTGCTGGCGGAAGCTTCCGAGTGCTACTTCGAGCAGCTGATCCTGTCCGGGGTCCAGAACCAATTCTGCACGTTGGCCAAGGTGGCACAAGAGGCGGCGAAGGTATTTATCTGGGCCAATATGAATACTGCAGTGTCACGTCCAAAATGATATCCAGGATGTATTCGTCCAGCAGCTGCGCAGGTTGTGTTATCAGGATTGTGCAGTCCAGTGCACTCGGTAATCAGCGCTCAGTAGCAGACCTGATCTGACACTGTCCTGTCCCAGCAGCTGCGCAGGTTGTGTTATCCGGATTGTGCAGTCTGATAAGCAACAGAGTCAGACCCAGTGCACCCAGTAATCAGCACTCCACTAAGTAACAGACTTGATCTGCCACTGTTCTGTCCCAGCAGCTGTGCAGGTTCTGTAACTGTGCAGTGCAAAAGGGACCAGAGTCAGACCCAGTGCACTCGGTAATCGGCACTCGGTAACAGACTCAATCTGCCACTGTTCTGTCCCAGCAGCTGTGCAGGTGGTGTTACTAGGACTGTGCAGTCCAAAAGGAAGGAGAGTCAGCACTCAGTAATCAGCTCTCAGTAACAGTTCAATCATACAACATAGGAATTTCCTATACTCACCGGCTCCATCTAGTGGTGGGACACGGGAAGCTGCAGATTTGCTGTAGTGAACAGTAGAGTCACTTGGCTGGCTGTACTGTGTGGCGGGGAGTGTACTGTTGAGGGGGGGAGGGGGGTTGTGACTCACAAAAATGGCCAGACAGAACTCGGGTAATAGTTCATTCAATGTATATCAGTTTCTTATCCCCCTCCCGATATAATGTAACCCATCGCCCCCCCACCCACAGCCAGAGATATACACTTACCTGCATCCTGCCACAATCTTCCCATCCCGGGGCCCGATCCTCCCCTCCACCGGCCCCCGGAGGACTTCCCCTTAAACGATTTTATGGGTCTCCTGGTACATAAATGAGGTCATGTTTTGGCATTTCGCAGCGCCCGCCTGTTGTAGGTGTCGGGTGCGCACGTAGAGGTAATTATATCTCTGGCTATCGGTTAATCATTGCCTGAACGATTGTTGTTTGCTGCAGCCTTGTGTTAACCCTTTGCTGCACAGATCGGTGGTTCCCGACTGCCGTTCTCAGACTGGCAGGACCGCTGGCTGCATCCTCCATGCGTCCGTGTCCTACATTCTGGACGTCTCGTGATCCCAGAGTCATCTGTAATAATAACATTGAATGTCATAAAATAAAGAGACCCTGTCACCATTTTTTTTTAAATGCAGAAAAATGAAAAATGTTAAAAAAATTTCGGCAATTTACAAGGCTGTGAAAGAAATGACTAGTCAATTCCCTAGCACAGCCCCCTCCCTCCTTGAACGTCATAACCCTCTCTTTTTCTGGGAGTGTCTAATTTCTGTCTGTGCTAGCCCAGCTCCTATGCCACTCCTCACACCACCCCCCCACATAACCTTTTATGTATTATGTAGCACCTGGGGGAGGACATAAGGGGATTCCTATAGAGCAGGGGTAGCCAAACTCTGGCCCTCCAGCAGTGGTGAAACTACAAATCCCATGATGCATCTCTCTCCGGGAGTCGTGGCTGTGAGAATCTTGCAATGCCTCATGGGATTTGTAGTTCCACCACAGCTGGAGGGCCGGAGTTTCCCTTCCCCTGCAATAGAGTGTCACTTAAGTGGAATCTCTGGGACTGCTGACATCACATCCAACATGGCGGCGCCCGGCAGCGGCCCCTGGGCTTTTGGATGTCTACACAAGGGAGGCTTTTAAAGGGAAATAACACAATATACTGTAAATTACATGAAATGCTCCTACAACCTTATGGGAAGATTTCTGTTGAAACGATCAGTCTGGTGACAGGTTCTCTTTAAAGGACCAGCAAGCTGGAATTGTTACTTTTAATAGAACATTGAAAGACATGAAGGGCCCCACCTCTGCACAGCAATTTAAATGTTCACCTCAGTACGCTGCGCGGTGTATAGGAGGGCCATGTTGGCGTCCATCTTGGGCTGGGAGAGGCTTACAAGTGCCGCCCGGCGACATTCATCTATCAGGTCGGCTCTTCCCGTGGTGTCCCCTCCGGTGGCTCTTCCCGTGGTGTCCCCTCCGGTGGCTCTTCCCGTGGTGTCCCCTCCTACGACTCTTCAAGAACTCTTGAAACTGTTACAACTTGTCATTTTATGCTGCCTGTCCCTTTTAAGACCATAAAGCAATGCGGGGACCCTGGTTGACGCTGATTGTGTTTCCCGCAGGTCAGTGAGGTCCACCTGCAAGTGTACAACGCCATGAACCAAGCTCCCATCAAGGAGAACGTTCCCTACTCCTGGACCGTCATGGTGCAAGTCAAAGCCGAACATTACAAAGCGCTGGCTCACTTTCATAGCACAAGAAAAAAAATGTAGATTTTTCAGCTAGCAGTATGTATCTGTTTGACTGTAAGCTCCTCAGGGGCTGAGTCTTTACAGCACTGTGGAATATTGGTACTATCTGAGAAATGTATAACAGTTCATGTACTGTATCTACATGACTGTAAGCTCCTCAGGGGCGGAGTCTGATGTGAATGGTTCCTTACAGCACTGCAGAATACAGTGGTGCTTTGTAAATAAAACACATAACACCGATTTGTACTGTATCTGTATGACTGTAAGCTACTCGGGCGGAGTCTTGCAACGTTTTCCATCGTCGATTTTAATCGACTTAATCGAATAATTGTTGCAGCTCTAGTCTAATGTGAATAGCTTTTTTCAGCACTGCAGCATATATTGCTGCAATCTTAAAGTAAAATACACAACACTTCTTATTGTACTGGACATTAGATATTTTATAAGGTGTGTTATAAAATACAGGACATTAATTGGCTCGAAACATGTATCTGAATAACTGTAAGCTCCTCAGGGGCGGAGTCTGGTTTGAATAGCTCTTTCCAGCACTGCAGACTATATTGCTGCAATCTTATTATTGTACTGGACATTAGGTTTCTCAGAGGCTGTCACATGACCATATCCTTTTCTCCCGCAGTGGGGCCCCACGATGACGAAGACAAACAGGAGAAGGCCTTGTCCCAGCTGTATGACCACATTCCAGAAGGGCTGACCGCCTTGAAGATACTTAAAGACAAACAGCAGAGGACACAGCTAGGTAATGATAAAACCCGGGGCCCGCTATAGGTTACAGCTGAGATATGAAGACACACCCCCTTGAAACAAATCTCAAATTCATTAACAGCTGCTGAGATCTGTTCTTATATCGGCTCCCCAAAGTCCCCACCGGACCTGACATGGACAGAGCGAGGAACCGCCGCTCCTTCTGCTCTGTCATCCAAGATGTTAGGCTCTGGGAGCTTCCTCAGGGGAGGGCCGTGTCCATTGGGAGGAGTAGGGGAGAGAGAGGTGACCAATCTGTATTGTATAACTGCAGCACAGAAAAGTGAGGTCACCTAGCTGGCTACGACGTGTGACTGGGCAGAGAGAGGATGACGAGGCCGGCTGAACAGAATGAGAAATCTTTCGGCGCCTAGTCTGCCATTTGTTTGTGCCTTTTAGCTAGAGAGCAGCCTGAGAAGAAAAGCCGCTAGGCAAGGACTGAATCAGTCTCCTGCTTCTCCTTTTACTGTCCAATCACAGGCTGGGGGAGGGACAATACCTGTTAGTGTTCTTTTATGCCAGCAGAGAAAAAAGTTAGGCCTCCTGTTCTGCAGAGCGGTGCAAGGTAGGGATGCACCGATCCTAGTATCGTTATCAGTGCCGATACCGAGTATTTGGGCGAGTACTCCTACTCGCCCAAATGCTCCGATACCGGAACTTCCGGTCAAAGGGAGATTTCCTCTAAACCGGCAGTGCCTTTGGGGAACAGGGAGCCAGCTTCCGGGGCAATCAGAAAGCCGGCTCCATGCTGATTGGCTGGGAAGTCGGCTTCCCGGACAATCAGGAAGCCAGGAGGCGGGTTATTACTTGCTGATTATTGCCGATCATTTCTTACTGATTGGCCAGGAAGCCGGCTTCATGCTGATTTTGGCTGGGAAGCCTTCCCGGGCAATCAGGAAGCGGGCTCAATGCCGTTTGGCCGCCTCCATGCTGATTGGCTGGGAAGCAAGGAAGTGGGTCATGACTCGCCTCCCAGTTTCCTGATTGGCTGGGAAGCCTTCCCAGCTAAATCAGCATGGAGCCGGCTTCCCGGGCAATCAGGAAGCCGGCTCGATGCTGTTTCCCAAGCAAACCTCTGACCAAATTGCCCGGGTTGTTGGCTCCATTGGCAGCGGAAGCACCGGTATTGGTACTCTGTATCGGCGAGTACCGAAAGCAAAATATTGGCGCTTGTACTCGATACCGAAAAACCGGTACCGGTGCCTCCCTAGTGCAAATCTCAGAACTGGATGGACACAGAAATGGAAATTTGGCAGGTTCCCTATATGTCTGGAGTTCTGCGTTTCCTTCCTCCCCGTCCTGTCACAATGGAACGGCTCAGCTAAAATGACGTTGCGGAGCGCCAGCCAACACACCAAGTGCATGAGAACAAACATGAGAACAAAAAAAAAAAGCTATTGTGTACGGACACAAATCCCCCTCCCCTCCCCCTCCATTCTGTGTATATTTGAGCCGTCCCGGCGTCCTTTCATTGCCGTCTCTGTTTTTCCTGCCCCGTCTAGGAAAGGCGCATCTGTCCAAGGCGCTCACCTGCCACGAGGAGGCGCTGCGGCTCTGCAGCCTGTGCAGCCAGCTGAAGCAGATCGACATCCTGCAGGACATCCTGTCGGCCTTCCACAAGAGGGCGCTGATGAAGGTGACGCAGCACCAGAAGGACGACGACTTTATGAGCTTGTTAACGGCTCCCGAAATCATCGGTAAGTCGCCCGGTGGGGTCCACCCTCTGCGGCATTTGAAATAGCTACTTCTTCTCACATATACAAATTGTTCTCTTCCATACACGAGTGCAACAAAGTAACAAATACATGACACGGTGATTCCATAGGCATTGGATGGGGGTGGAGTCCCTGCCGACCAATCAGAATGAATCTTATACTGGTGTGGCTGCTGGAAAGTGGTTGGGAGGGGTCACGGCATTAAACTCGTCACCAATGCGGCGTAATGCTATAGAATTGGCCTGAATGTGGTCGGTCTATTGGGATGTCATGTGATCGCACTCGAGGCACGCTGAAATAATGACGTGGAATATTACTGATGTTATTTCTTGTTGCGTCCCCCACAGGTAAGACCGAATTCAAGGCAGAAATCCTCTCGCCGCCGCTCGCCAGAGTGAAAGTCATCGACCTCTTTCAGCGATTGGTATGT